GGTGAGAAGCTGAATTGAAACAGCCCTGAGATTAATAGTAACACATGGAATGCCCTGATAGGCAGCTAGCTGTTTCTGTTGCCAGCTATATTCCTCGCAAGCAAGAAAGACCAGGCAGAATGCCATTGCACTCTTGGTTACTTTTAAAATTGGAAGAAAACACTGATACTCTTCAGTGCTTTTGTGAAATATCCACCTTTGGATTGAAAAGACAAGATTTTTTTGTATTATTCTCCTCTATTTCTATCTCTCTCCTTCCAAATAAAAACTGCTAGCAGAATGTTAGTATCAGAATTCTTGCTAAAAAGAAAAAAAGAAATAGAAGATAATTGTCTCTTCATAAAAGCTTTAGCTAAGTGGCACATTCTTTCAAAAATATATTTACCTGAAAATTCTGTAGCTGACTCAATTTTACTTCATCTGTCCTAAAAAGAAAAGAGGATAGCTTCAAAATATTCTGTTTCTGGAAGACAGCAGGGAGGCAGGAACCACCTTGGCAAGGCTTGGAGGCAGGTCTCAGTCAAGTGGAACAGGCAGTGACAAAGTTCAGAAACCTTCACTATGACAAGAGAAGGTGTGAAGAGAGCTGAGTCTCTACAGAAATCTTGGCGAAGACCCAGCTGCACAACAGATTAGAGAAATGCCTTTTTTTTTTTAGTATAAGTTTGCCTGTAAACAATATGGCACAAGCTAGAAATAAAGGCAAGGCAAAGAAGCCTGAACTCTCTCCATTGTATGCATTGTGTTGTCCTGTGTTTTCACATCTGCATGAATGATTAAGGTAAGACAAACACAGAAGATTTCCAGGAAACTTATGAGAAACTGAGTTTTTGAATGATAGTTTGCACACTGTTTTCAGTGGCCAAAACAAGAATGTATTTTTAAAAGGCTACACTAGGGGCCAGATGCTGCAGTGACTTTAGCTATTCAAATCATAGACATTGACTCTAATGAAAGCAGAAATTGTCCTTAAGTGAATAATTAATATTAAATGATGTTCTAAAAGTATTTACAGACTGTATTATCACTTCAGCAGGAAGAGTAAGAATCCACAAATTGGATAGCTGCAAATCTGGCATTCAGAAATCACTCCACTTCGCCTCCTCTATCTTCCACTCCACCCCCGCAAAAAGCATGTTAAGATTTCCTCATGAAAGAATTCTGGTATATTCACAGAGTGAAAATGGACTATTTTTCATGCCTAGTTTACACAGACATACCTATTCAATGAGCAAGACCACATCCATTTCAGAAATGTACTTGCCAAGGTTATTTTTTTCTTAAAATTGAGTACTAAGATGCACTTCTGGAAAGACATTTTTATGAGAGGCATTTACAGACCTGTCTGCCTTCCTTCTGTTGCTTTGGATGCAGGACCTACCATTAACATTTCATCTTTTGCCTGTCTATGTGCTGTAGGATGCCATCAGGTCTTTATTTTCCACCACACTGAAAGCATCCTGGCTGCCTGAATGCATGCCAAGACCCATGGAGCTGAAGCTAGACATCCAGAGGACCAGAGCTTTACTGCTATCATATCCAAATTGTCCCTGTTACATTCTGTTACTTGCAGGCAGGTTTGGATTGTCATGAGAATGCCTGCTGAAATCAGAATTTTCTAGAGGCAGAATAAAGTTAAATATACTAAAATATTCATTCAAGAAAAATACATTTGTTTTTCAAATTACTAAAACAGCCTTTCATGGCTTGAAATTTGTGATTATATTTAACAGGATGACAAGTACAATCAAATCTGGTGTGATGAAAGATGAGGTTATCAAGCAGGAGCACAGCTTTGTGGAAAGTTTTAAGTGTTCTCTCCACAGTGGCAAAAGAGTGCCTTGATATTCTCAGCAACTGCTGGGAACATGCTCAAGTTCTCAGTACTGAGCAGGAGAAGAGCTGTTAGTATCAGATATCAGCACAAAAATAGATACACGTAATCTGACAGCACTTAGACATTGAACTGCTTCGGTGAGCAAGAGCCTTATCAAGTCCTCATAAGAAAAAAAAGCTGGGAAAGTTTTAGAGCTCATATGAGAGCACTTGCCTTGGGGATCGGTGTGTTCTAGATTTTCCAGAAGATCATCAAACTCTTCTTTGTCCAGAGTTCTTTCAATTGCAATAAATTTGTATTTAAAGATATTATCTTTTGGCCAAGTGCAGGTATAAGTTCTTAGTGATTATTTTTCTTTTATTCTTTTATGTTTCCAGAAGTGGAAATGGACCATGACTAAATTTCCTAGGTCTTAGTACAGTAGGAAATGGCTTTATAATAGAATATTCAAAACATCAAGGATTTCATATTTTAATGCTTGTAATAATATGAACTATAGTTAGCTATTTGTGCTAAATCTGAAATGGCATCTGAAATGAAAATATTCAATAATAAAAAATAATTGTGTTGCAAAAGTTAGCCATACAGTGGCAGATAGATACACAAAGACCTACATAATTCTGTAGTAAGTAAAAAGAGGAAGAAACTTATAGTTTCTCCACAAAAACATTTATTTCATCAGCCTATTAAAAAAGCATTCCGTTTGAGGCATCAGATTTCAGCAGAATGTGTGGACGATACTTCCAGAACTGATTTTCCATTTCCAGGCATAACACAACTTATAGGAGAGAAGTTGAAGTTACTAGAAGTTAATCTCTATCAGTAGTGATTCAAAAACAATTACTAGCCCATGTTTATTTTCTTTAATGCAGAACATTCAAGTAGTACATTAATTATGAAATTCTGTATTCAAAACTAGTCCAACTGGGAGGAAATACCTTGAGAGGAGATATCCTTATTCCCACTAAAGTTGGATTTTAGTAAAGAAAACAAGTTCAGAAGGTGATCTAAGTAGGGATGACTTCACAGACATCTGCAGCTCATGAAGTAAAAATATTTTCTTAGAAAAAAGATTTCCAGTGAATTCACATTGCTGGTAGATCAAACAAAATCAGCTTCCTTTTTCCCTTTTTCCACCTTTTTTTTAGAGCAGAGTTCACACTGGCACAGAAGGCTATTTTGAGGTAGTAGGTGATAAGTTAGTCCGTGAGGAGATGAAATGGACTCTTAGGCAGCATGAAGCTGAGGTTTCCAAGTCCAAGCCAGTTATGGATCTCATACAACCTCCTTAGTTTAAATCCTAATTGAAAGAAGGTTTTGTTGCAGTGCAGTGTGAGTTGTTTCTTTGTGCATTTGTTTACATTTTTTTCTTTAGTGGAACAATAAGAAAAGGATTGGATTGCATGTTTATAAAACACTTAAGGCCACAGAACCCTTAAGCCAAAGAAAGGTGAGGGGTGCTGTGCCTGGGGTAGGAAATCCTGTTGCTGCATCTACCTGCTGCTGCACTCAGGTCGATAAGACCCGTCTGTTATCAAAGTGGATATGTGTGAAAGAGAGATGGAATTTCAGATCCGTATGATGTCTGATAATACACCTGGCCAAGAGACAAGAATGTGTTAACTTCTTAACACTCACAGGTACTCTTTCATTTTTACTTCCTTTTCCTGCTCTCCTAAAGAGAACGTACATTTATTACCACCTTTTATTGGTGTGTGTCCTGTACGTTTGGCCAGCTGCTCTGATCATCATTCAGATCGGTCAGAGCCAGATATCTACTCCTCTAGTAGAAGGAAATATAAAGAAAATATATATTTTTTCACAGTCCAGTGATATGGGCACCTTCAAGAGATACAGGAAGGTGAAGGCATGATATGGCAATCTTCAGAGGCAGGAAAGATGTTACTCAGCTCCACAAATACATTTGGTGGCAGTCCTGATGTGATCCTCAGAGTCTGTGTCTGTGAAAGCTCCTTCCTGGTCTCAACTGCTGAATACAGTCTGCAGGAATCTTCCACTAGTAGGGTATGTTTGGTTTAAGAAATATATATTTTTTCCAGTAAAGCTTTTAATTGACAAAAGCCTAATTGTTGCCACTCATTTGACAGAACACATTTACAATTTTACAATTACAATTTTGTAATAATATTCAATATCTCCGTTAGAAGTAAATGCTCCAGTATCACTCAATTTATCAGATCAGACAGTCTCTTTCCTATCTCATAACTCTGCTCCAGCTCTTTCCTCAGTTTTTTTTCTATGCCATTTTCCTCTGTTCCATTCTCTCTCCTTTCTAGTCCTCTTGATCCCATACTGCTCACATTGTCTGAAATATCCTTTAAAATGTAGAGTAAAGCAGTTGCCTTTTCTCAGTTCAACTCCTACCAGCCAGACAAGATTAATACACTTACAGTAGAAATAGCCATTACTCCTCAGCAAAGCTCTCTTCCAGGTGGACAGCTGCGTGTTGCCTTTCAGCTTGTCCATTTCAGACAAACAGAAGGAAGAAGCCTTCCCTTTCTGCTTATATTATCAACACTAAATAACTTCTGGAAGCACCATACAGATTGTATTTTAGTTTATTTCCCTATTGGAGAAAGCACTGTTTGTTACATATTTGTTTTGTAAATTCCATTTTGATTCCAATTAGAAGGCAAGTTCCTGCAATTTCCATCATAATTACAATAATCTACTTACAGTCAGTATGATGAGTACAGCCAGAAAAAGCAGCTGTGCTATGTTTGCTTTATTCTGGATGGAAGTCTTTAAACAGATAAGTATTGGAAATAGTTCTACAATCACTCTTTCTTTTTGAGATAATATCCATGTGCAGTATTTACTTGATGGATTGCATGCAGTAGTATCGTGTAGCAGGGAAGAAACAGTTTAAAATGTGTCTGTGGATGTATGACAATGATTATAAGCAGAGCTCATTTTTCTGGTTTTGTTGTTTATGGAGTAGACTGTATTGAGAATGTTTATGTTTTCTTGGGAAATGACTTATATGGGTAGGCACACATTATGGATTTATTCACTATTGAATTTTATGCCTGTGCAACTCAATTGAGTCCAGAGTTAGAGCAATACAGCAGTAAATCAGACACTATTATTCTTAGCTACATATACGGAGTCACATGCTGAATTCACTGTGATATAACCACGAATATGTGTGTGGGAGGGTGCTTTAAAAGAGCCCTTCAGAAAGCATCATCAATCTTTCTGACTGTACTCACCTGGTCTCCACGGCACACTGCAACTGTGAGCTTCAGTGACTGCTTCTGCAATGCATCCTGGCCTCCTTCAGAGCAGAAAAGCTGCTGCAGGAAAAGTGTAAGTATTCAGTGCTCTCCCACCTATAATGGCTTCACGCTTCATCAACACAACATGTCTTAGCTGTAAGATTGGTATGAGTTAAAGCAGTGTAACAAAACCAGAAGACATTAGGGAGTGGGGTTGATTTTATTTTATAAACTCTCTAGCCAGATTCATTTTATCCACTTGTGCTTTTTCCCTCATAGCCTCCTTTCCCTCACACTCTCACCTCTGGTAGTCTTGTCAAGATTAGTTGTCTGCAATGTAGGCTGAGAGACTCTGGCACTGAGCCTTCACAACTTTCAGTTCCTTTTGACTGGTGAAGACAAAACAACTTGCAGATAGATCTCATGTGTACTCCAGGATTTGTAATTGTTCCAGGGTGGCCCTTTGCTTCAGTAGTGTGCGTACTTCAGACTCCACAAATCTTGAGCAGGGTTGCTGCTTATTGTCTGTACAATCTTGTTTGAAATATATTTTTGAAATATACACATCTTTATGTCTACTGTCTATTTTTCCATCAGACTAAAATGAAAAAGAATGGCATATGTGATGAGCAGTAACCTGACTGTCCCCATACAGCACTCAGAAACAAGGGTCTTCCCCTAAAAAGACATCTCTGCTGAGCTCTTGGCAGAGTGCAAGCCCCTGGGAATGAGCAAACTACATCTTCCTCAATTTGATTGACTGGGAAGAGTCACTGCCGATAAAGGTCAGTCTTTTAACTAACACAGCAGTCTTAACATACATATATTTTTTTAAGTCTCCTCAAATATAGTTTCCGATAAGGAAAAAAAGAAAAAAAAAAAAAAAAAAAAACAAGGATATATTTACAGTTTTTCTAAATGGTGTCCAGATTCAAACACTTGATTTGTATTTGAATTTTTAGGAAAAAAAAAAAAGAAAAAGGTTTCACACTAGTTTTCTATATTTCATTCATATGTATCACAAATGTATGAAATCACAGGCTAAAGACATGTCCGATTTTTAATTACTACTAGTTTTAACAGTTTTTAATAAGACTTGAACACAAATATGAGGCAAATATAAACTTTTATTTATGATTTTTTAATACATGTTCAAATTGTCATTTGCAGTGCTTATATTTCTGGCCTTAAATTACTCCATGAATGTCTTTAAGTTTTTCAGTTCCATGTTAACTGCCTGTCTTAGTTTCAGCTGGAACGTAATTGTTTTCTTCAGGGCATCTGGTATGATGCTATACTTTGGCCCTAGGAGAAAAACAATATCAGTAACATATTGATTTTTATAGTTGGTGACTAAGCCAAGTCCATTCACAGCAAAGGCTCAAGGAGCTGGGAGGGAACAGAATTAGAACAGCTGACTTGAAATGGCCAAAGAGGTATTCCATACCATATGACAAAAAGCAGGAATTCTGTAGATGCATCTTGCGCTTTTCTGCTGCTCGAGGGTCTAGCCAGGCATCATTTGGGGAGTGGTGAGCAATTGCTTGTACATCACTTGTTACATACATTTTTTTATATACATAGTTGTAAATTGTTTACTCCTTATCTTAGTAAATCCTTATCTTAGTTTTTATCTCAACCCACAAGTTGAGATACTTTGTTGGTTTTTTTTATTTTCTCCCCCATCCCATTGGGAATAGGGAGAGTACAGTGCTCAACAGTGCGGTGCTCAACCACCTTCCAGGTTAGACCACAACAGTCATTTTCTAAAGTTGAATTTTAAGGAAGTTGTGCATTATGTACACAGTAGTATGATTGTCTCACACAAGGAAAAAAAACACAAATGCAACAATATAAACAAATATTCTAAATTTCTCTGGTTAGCATTAACAAAATATTTCCATTCACACACCATTTAAAGAACCATGATTTATTTGGAAACCTCTTCGTATGGGTTTATTACAGCAGCTAATGTGAAGTTAATGACATAGAAATTGACTGCTTAATAGAATAAAAACTACAAGATTTTCCATTAGGATTCCTCACCATAGAAATATGAAGTGTCCAAATATTGTTTATCACTGGACTGGATAAGTTAAATCAGTCAGCTTTTCTTAGTACACGAGTTGAAGTCAATTTCTCCCAGCCATTGGCATGGGATTTGTTTGCTGCCAACTCACTTAGAAAGCCAAATGTACTCTGGATCAAATAGCGGAAAAAAATTATGTTTTTTACTTAGTTATAAACCTTATGCATATTATTTCTAAGGATTGTTTTCTGTTTTTTAACTTTCATAAAGGTATAGAGCTGGAATTGGGTTATAAAGCCAAACCAACAAACTCTACAGTATATGGGGAATGTCCGCAGCCAAGCAGATAGGGCAGCTTTGATCACTGGAGGTCATAAATCTGGATCTTACCTCTTCGTTTAAAGAAGCATGTGTGGATATTTCGTATTCCAATTCTACTCATTAATTAATTTGATTATGAGGTCTATCTTGTGCACCACTTTGGCCTTATGATGAATAGGGAGAGCGATAATCACCGTAAGAATGAAGGAATTTACTGTCTGAACTTCCTTATATGTAAGGTAAGAAATAAATGTAATGTATACTCCTTTAAGTAATGTAGATAAATAAAATAGTCAATTTTCTGATATTTTCTCTGGTTAGCATTAACAAAATATTTCCATTCACACACCATTTAAAGAATCATGATTTATTTGGAAACCTCTTCGTATGGGTTTATTACAGCAGCTAACGTGAAGTTAATGACATAGAAATTGACTGCTTAATAGAATAAAAACTACAAGATTTTCCATTAGGATTCCTCACCATAGAAATATGAACACAGCAGAACATCTATAGGAAGCATCACTCTGGTTTTCGCTGCACCCAGAGAAGAAATTGAGCACTTCTGTTTGCACCTCAGCTAGCAATATCTTGGCTTCTGAGCTGTTGTGCTTCTGCAGCTCCAAGGAAAGAAAGGCCTTACTTCACCCCAAACTATGGAAAACTATGTGCGTAAACTCCACAACAGAGAAAGAGGAACACCTGCCAAGTGTTCAGTGTGCTGCTACATCCACATGATTTATCAGACAGTTTGCTGCTGTCTAAGCCCCTGCTTTGGCTGGAAAATGGAAAGCATTGGCCACACCATCTGGGTCTGACAAGAATGAAGCTTTTCAAAAAGACATATTGCTGGCCTTGCAAACACTCAATCATTTGTATTTTTTTTCAGCCACAGTCACTTCAGTGAGGTTGAGAATTTTTTTTCCCATAAAACCACTTATTTTCCACTGAGTGCTGCCATTCTATCTCTGAGTGCTTTTTCCACATGCACAGACACTGGGACATCACATGAAAGTGAGGCAAATTGGTGACAAGAGCAAGTAATAGGACCCCACAGCGGCCTTTGATTTATAGCTGGTAGAGAATTCACTGACTACTCCTCAGAGTCATGGAAGAGGTTAATTTGTTGAAAACAGTTTCCCAGCAAAGTCTCACCCAAGTACAGGTAGAGTTTACCTGGCAATCCCTTGCAGCTTATGGTGCAACACCTCACAGATGCTGACAGGCTTAGCATTGCCTGATTCCAGGGCAGTCTCAGCATGTGCCGTGCTCTGGCATTGGAAACCACGAGCTTGCACTATTTTCATGCCCAGATCTCAACCACTGCAGGGTTTAGGAGACCTGATACAGGAAAAGATGTGTAAAAATGTGTCTGGGAGACCCACAGACCTCAGGACAAATTTATCTTGCCATTCCATTAGGAGGAAGAGGCAGAAAATTGAGCACCCTCAGGGCTAAGACAGTGGGTTGCAAAGCTCCAGGATCTTTCATCACTTCTCATGGCTCCAGGACTCCCAGCTTCCCAACAGTATCAATAGGATGCCTTGAATAAGTGGCCTTGAAACTCCACCCATCAAGCTCAAAGATTCAATGTCACTTTCAAAATATTTGAATGTAGTACTGTCACTAAGTTAAAAAAATAAATAAATAGATAAAACAAAAACAAATTGTACAATCAAAATATTTTTACTCCCCTCAAAAATAGGAAAAATTTAGAATTTTAAAATTTACTAAGAAAGATGATCTGATTACTTGCTAACTTCGGATCAGAAGAATAGCAGCTCAGCCCCATTCATTGCATCAGAAAGAAGTGGAGGAATAGAAGAGGCAAGGGAACATCATCCCACTCAGAAAATAAATACCTGATCCTTCCACAGCCTCCATCATAAAACTACAAATTAAGGGAAAGAGAAGAGGGGGACCAATCTTCATGGCTAATTTTTTTTTTTTCCCCACTCGAATAGAATGATCAGTGTCCAAAGCTTGAGTTAATATCATTATCTCTTTTTTCACTGCCTGAATGTTGTGGGTTTCATGATGCAAAGTGTTGATTCTTTCTACTATGCTCTCAAAAACCTCCTCTAAAACAGCTATACATGGATTTTCAGAAGAAGCTGGATCTCTGGCAACTGTTTTGTTTCATTCTAAGACCACATTTGCTTGCAGTAAGATAAAATTCGCTTTCAAGTTGGCAGCTTACAAACTTGGTAGAAATTTATCTTTAAATAGGATTCTGATGAATTCTTGGAGGTTTGGAATGAAGCACCACAAAACATTTACCTTGAAGAGCTTCAGTTTCTTAAATCAGTTTCCCCAGAGTAAATTTACAGCAGCTATCACCAAAGATAGCTCATTGCTGATGAGCCTGAAATGAGCACTTCAAGTCTGTGAGACAGAAAGTACATAAGCAATCACATTAATGTCATCTAACCAAGCTAAATAGCATAAGACAATTTTAATTTGAATTCTGTCAAGAGCTAAATTGCAGAGTTCACCTGCAGCAAAACTAAATCAGATGGTGATCATTGCAAAATTCTGGTCACCAAAGGAAAAACATATTCCAAAGTTGAATGTCACCATTATTTCAAATTACTGTGATTTATGGTACAGAAAGCAATATTTGGTCACTGCTAGCTAAACAGTGGCCTTTTCACAGTCATCTGCAAGAAGCAGTAAGTGTTGATAAAATATGGTCCATTTTTGTAATGTCACAGGCTTTCAAATACTTCGGGAAAAAAAATCTCCGATAACAGATGGAATGTTTTTTGACATTCAAATATGCATTTTTTTATATTGGGCAGTGAAGAAGAAGTGTTATCATAATAAATAGTAGTGCTTGCAGGGAGCAGATAGTTTCAGACATATTATTTTCTGTGAAACAGTGTGGCTTTATGTTATTAACGTAAATTAGAAATGGCTGGTAGTTTGCACTCCACACATTGCTGCACGTAAAGATCTCTTAAGCTGCAAAATGAGATGCTCAGCTGAATAATATAGGATCACTGACATAGAAGTAACATTATATATATTCATGTTTTAATGAAGATTCCCATCACACTGTGAAATGTGATGTTGAATGGTGTGTTTTAAAGGAGTGGGTTTGGTGAGGGAGAGAGATGAGGGGAAAATAAAATTTAAAAAGGCCCCTTGTAATAAAAACTTTTCACAGGAATTCTCCTTTTTCAAATAAAAGTTCCCTCCACAAAACATTTCTCCACATCAGTGAAATTTCCCATGGAATTAAAAAATATAGTGGTGTGTATGTAAAATATTTCCCTCTTTCTACAGGGTATGTATCACAGTTGGTTTACCTAAGCTTTTGGAAATTTCTGGTATTTTTATAATTTTCCCAGGAAAAAATAATAACATAAAATAGGATCTTAAGATTTCCTCTTGAAAGTTCAGCCTTGCATATATTGGCTAAATCTCCAGCCTACTTCAGTTAGCATATCAGAAGAATATCACTAAAACTTATGCTGGTTCCTGTACAGTCTTTTACCCTATCACATTATTCAACTTACTTTTACTTTAATCACAGTAGTATCTCTTTCGCAATCTCTTTCTTGATCTTATGAATAGTGTGAACCCCATTTTTTATTGATGTTAATGCTGTAGCCGCAGCCATTTCAGGTGACAATGGACTACAGAATGCTTAGTGAAAATAATCAGATAATGCATAGGAAGATTTTCTGACGTAATTTTCTTAAGCAAGAACTACTCTGAGATAATTAAAATAATCCAATGAATTTGAAGCAGTGGTGTTATTACACAATTTAATTTTGCATAATTAAATCTCTTTGTACTAAAATTACCCTCTTCCCATAGCTAAACAGAACCTGATGTGCAACCTCCCACTTCCCCCTCTTCAAAAATAAAATTAAAAAGAGTCAGAAGACACTAAGAAAAAAATCTAGTCTGGAAAGCAGAGAGAAGATGTATCACGATTGCCCTTTCAATTGTTTTCACTGTATTGTGATTCAGATGAAAGACAATTCATTTAGAAGCAGATATTGGTTGTTCCTTTTAATGCTTTCCAGAATACAGTGCACTGAATGTAGAAAACTTACCATGACATAATAAATAGAAAGTACATGGTAACAAACATGTAAATGGAAAATCTTGCACAGATGTAACCATATAATTATACAGAAAAATCAGAGGCATTCAGTAAAATGCCACAAATTTAATTTGATATTTCACCATTTAACAAAATACATACATAGGTGCATGAGAGGAGAGAATTACAATGACAAATGTTGAGTATTCTGGTTAGAACTGTAGCATTTGTCCTAAAATCATTACTTCACAAGACACTCACCTTGGATTCAGTTTCAATTTACCCTAAATCTAAACATACATACCCCAAGCAGCATTTCTGCTTTTCAAATTTTATATATATATATATATATAGACACACACACTGCAAATGTCTTGCCTGGGTAGCTTCTTGTAGGAATCTGAATCCAAAGAGATGCTAAAAGGGACTGCCTACCCCAACCTTTTTTAGGCACAACTCAAGTTGCCTGTTAAAGTACATTCACATTTTTTAATGCCTGACTCACAGTATGAGATATTGGGTTAATAACAGACACTGGGTTAATAAAGATTCATGCAACAAAATCAAATGTAGGCATCAAGAACTTCCTGTAATTGGATATTAGAAGTTATTGTTTCATTTCTTTTCTACAACTCAAGTTGCCTGATAAAGTACATTCACATTTTTTAATGCCTGACTCACAGTATGAGATATTGGGTTAATAACAGACACTGGGTTAATAAAGATTCATGCAACAAAATCAAATGTAGGCATCAAGAACTTCCTGTAATTGGATATTAGAAGTTATTGTTTCATTTCTTTTCTACTTCAGCAGCAGTGAGAGTGAAAGAACTGGCAATTACCATACAGTCACAGCTGAGCCCTCACATACACAGCAATAAGCTCCTTTTTGAAATTAATGGTGCCTAATTAGGGAAAACGAGACTCCACAAGGAATTTTAAAAAATTACCACAAAACACCATTCCACTGAAGAAGACTATGTACCATGACTATCTTTAATATGAAGTAGTGAAAGCTGTTCTTTCAAGCAGATTAGATGTGTGAATCAAATGTTAATATTAATAATAACAATATGAATCTGCTGGATATTCTGAAGTGAGTGAAGTCCTATGATGGAGAAACAGAAAGAATACAGTAACTATTTGAGATTTAAAAAAAAATATTTCAAACGCATTTTAGGAAACGCTTGTATGCTCAAATTCTGAAATTTGGAGAGAGAAGAGAAATGACAGGAGATTTGTT